GAGGCGGAGAGGCGATACGTCTAATGTGATTTATCAACTCAAACGTATGGGGCAAAACGTGCTTATGGGGTAGGAAATGGGATACACGGACAGAAATAGCAACAACGACAACAACATCAATAGTACCGGGGCATTTAGGGAGAAAACAAGCATGCTATGAACCGCGACTATTCAACAGGGTCACAGCAACTCGAGTCAAGGGACAAGCAACGGCACGTTGCATTGTGTACCACAGAGATGTAGTATGGGCACAACTGCAGGACGTGATTGTGTGCTTGGAGGAGGTCGGTAGCAGGTGGAAGGATAATGAATCGGGAGATTGAGTGACCATGTGGTCATACCAGTGGGATGAATGTGTCCCCAATCTTGGACGAGCCGACGAAGTCCTGGTGTTCCATACTCCACACACTGATTGGTGTAATGTAGAAATTATAGATGTCCCTGAACGACACAGACACTAGTTATGTTCCCCTATCCTGGGATAACATTAGCAAATATGGAAGTGATTCGACCGTATCATTCGTTGTCATATTTTAGTAGCTGACCTATTGGCTTTATCCTGAATTAAGCTGTGCAGAAAATAACGATAACGAAGCTTCAACATTTAAAGTATGGTAACCTCTCGTGAATGCCGCATCAGTACAGAAGCACGAGTTTTATCAATCTGACACTGAAAATACTGAATTTGTCATCTCTTTAATCAATATCTAGACAATCTCATTAACTTCGTACCTCCCCATCTTGCTAAAAGCACCTGTGGGAAGGTCTAGCAACATGAAAATGGATTCAAAGAATGTATACACGAACTATTTTCCTGTTCCGCAAGTGGACATTATCATCATGGAATAAACCCACGACAGTCATGGTCTACTAAACCTTGACAACGCCCCCCCCCCCANCTGTCATACTTCTCTTATTCGCCTGCGAATAAGATACGGTCGATCGACAAGGACATCACACTGACTCTCAAAATGTTTTAGGGAACAGATTTTATTTACCAAGTTCTCGAACATTCGGGAAACCGTGAAAACTTTCCATTGCCTCCTCCCCTCCCCTCCCCGCAACCCTCGGAAATACACCAATTCACATGATTTAACCGTATAACGAAGACGCGGTGGCATTTGCGAAGTTTGACAACATACTCTAAATCGTGGTACTCAGGGGAAGAAATAAATTTGCACACAGCATAATACATTCCCTGCAGTTTGCGTTTGCATTTAAATTTTCACAAAACTGAGAACTAAACCTCAGCTGTTGATTTTCCCACAGGCGGACAATACGTGAATATGTCAGTCACGCTGGTCGGAGTGGACAGATACCATCATAAGTGGTAATTCATAACCTAAGATGATGAAGGCTATTTTAAAATATTCTGTCCAGGGGGTAATCTGAGAACTTATTTTATAGAATATGAACAATAACCACCAAAAAACGGGACGATTCATTATTGTAATAAAACATAAAGTGGCGAACAAGCTCGTTTGCGGTGATTCTTCTACAGACTAATAGCCTGCTTGTACGCTACTTTGTGTTTTATTACTATCGGCATTGATGGTTTATTTGAACGATTCATTATGGAGAGCACAGTTTCCTCTTAACGAATTTTAATAGAAAGAGAGTGTCAACCTATATTTTCGCTTCATCATTGTCATTTATTATTCACATGACCGTGTTATTCTGACACTTTTTGATTCGCGTGTGCACTGACAAGGGGTGGGTGGGGGGAGGGTGATTTGATTACACAGTATTTTCGATCTGTTCCCATAGCCGGAAATGAGGAGAACCGCGTCAGCTGACTGAAAGTCTTCCTGTGTTTCGAGCACATTCCGGTGATTCTGTTCCAACACACGGTCATTTGATAACAGTGGTTAGGGTTGTCCTGCAACTAGATCCGGACCGGATTCACCTGAAAGGAGCGAACTGAGCATGAGGCCGAGTTGGATGGATGATGATGGATGAGAAACCGTTTGGATTTTCCCCCCGCAAAACCAAAGAGGGGAAACGAACGATTGGGTAAAAAACGAAACACACTGGTCTCCGCTGTCTATGCACTGATCGACTGTCCCATCTCAGGGTCACGTTAGTTCACGTGTCTCTACATCAGTGCACGAGTTATCGGCGTCAACTGTAGGTAGAAAGATTCACCCTATGTTTCACAACCTTATTTAGCCAGGGATCAAACTAAGATGATCCGGGTACCATTTCAAGTTGTCCCGCCAACAATTGTGGTATACCGTTCAGGACGCTGATCTCACCAGAGTTGGCAGGTCCACGGATTGTTTAACTATCAAAGCAACTTGTGAATGATCGAGCAGCTCAGCCCTTTCTCAGCCTCCATTTGAAGCATGAGTGGACAGTAAAGTGTGTCCCTCATCAGTTCCACAAGCGTATAAATCCATGACATGTCTCGATCGTTTGCATTGCACGTACACGCACGTGTTTGTTTGGATTACATTTGGCCGAGGAAACGGTGTCTGATACCAAAGCGTGATCACAACTCACAAGCCCATCCAAGCACACCTTCCGGAATAGTTGGTGTCCGTGGTCGGGTGGATCAAACGCTTTGTGTTGAGTTTTCACTGCTCGTGAAAAACAAGTCACAGTTGTCAGTCTTTGCAAGATGGACTGGACTGAACGGACGATAACAAAACACATTTGGTCTGAAGGAACACGTCAGGTCCGAGTGTTTGGGAAATGTGCGAAGAATTTACTTGTCTTATTCCGAAGAAGCGAAATGTGAAAAATGCACAAAGCGTTTTCTTCAAACCGGATTGGTTCAGAGTCGGAAAAATGGGTCCAGGGTGTTGCCAGTGGCTACGGTGGAGTTGTGAGATAAGGGGAAAATGCTTGTGTCTTCAAACCCACATGGGTATTCATCCATACCACGCACGCTACCTCGCGTTTCCTTCCGCGCAATCAATTTTTTTTCAGTGTAGCGATGATGAACTCAGATCGGGCGAGTCGTGTAGAATTTGGAGGATGGTTGCGCTCCACAACGTTTGTCAGTGAAATTACATTTTACTCAGAATTGGTTCAGTGATATAGAAAGCTGTAAATCCATCCAACATGGATGTCTAAATGTTATATTAACTTGTCTTAATTTGAAGGCACATCTTACTAACGCAACTGTCATTGAGTGAATATGTAATCTTAAAGAATGCACTTATTTACTACTTTCGTAGTGTGATCACCAGAAATGAATCAAGTTTACTGGGCTCAAATAAAATTGTTTTCTAACTGAAACACACCACAGCTTCGATCTCCAAACTTTTATATCTTTTCGGATGTCTAGCATAATGGAAAAATATCATAACTGCATCGCAAAACATCCCCGAGGAAGAAGAACCGAAGGTTCAGCGAGTCTGGTAAAGTGAATCGATGGATGTGCTAAGAGCGAAGGATAGATCTTCGAACCTTTCTTATGACCGCTAACGAGCGTTACTAATTTAGTGACCAAATGAAAATCTGTTCTTTTATAATGGATGACCAAATCTCATTCACAAGTTATTCGTTTTACAGGGTTCGATCGGCTCAGTATCCTGCTAACCGTCTTAATCGTGAATAAAACAAGGTTGGCTATGAATCATTGGTTTACCTGCTAACGATAAATAGGGCGTACAAAAGACCACCACTGGGTTATTACGTTTGAATGCGTAAAAGAATTATTCACTAACTTTATCACAATCATCATTAATGTGGCGGCATCACGAATCATTGTATAAAAGAGCCATCGAGAGGAGGGTTTCTGTCATAACTTGTGAGTCACTTTCTCCCCAATGAGTTTATTTTTTCCGTTCACTCATCAAACAGGAATACAGTAGTGAGACTTCTTCTACTCCGAACTGAACTATGGATTTTAGGACACAAGCATTTTCCCCTTATCTCACAACTCCACCGTAGCCACTGGCAACACCCTGGACCCATTTTTCCGACTCTGAACCAATCCGGTTTGAAGAAAACGCTTTGTGCATTTTTCACATTTCGCTTCTTCGGAATAAGACAAGTAAATTCTTCGCACATTTCCCAAACACTCGGACCTGACGTGTTCCTTCAGACCAAATGTGTTTTGTTATCGTCCGTTCAGTCCAGTCCATCTTGCAAAGACTGACAACTGTGACTTGTTTTTCACGAGCAGTGAAAACTCAACACAAAGCGTTTGATCCACCCGACCACGGACACCAACTATTCCGGAAGGTGTGCTTGGATGGGCTTGTGAGTTGTGATCACGCTTTGGTATCAGACAGTTTCCTTGGCTAAAAGTGCCAGATGAACCACAGCTGAAAATTCAACTCTGCCATGTGTTTTTGACTTAGCGAATCACCTGACCCATTTTAAGTATGTTATAATCTGAACGACAATTTTGACTAGTGAACCCGTAAACAAAACATATTGTTCAGCTATATGGGAAATGAAAACTATAGGGATTTTTTAAAGTATGATTTATGTATGTATGTATGTTTGTCTAATTTTTGCGAATCAGTAAGTTGCACGAGCGAATTGGTTCACCGTTTAGCACTTGACTGTTGCTCAAGTGCACGAGCTTGTATTCATTTGCTCAATGCATTATGTTTCATTTTTATTCAAGTCATGTACGAAACAGCCTCCCATAATAACACAGATCTGCGGGTGAATTTCAGCCAGCACCTCCTGTGTTGACTGTCATCTGAATAGATAAAATACACCGATGCATCGTTTCAAACAAGTGCGAAATACTCCTCTGCATACACGCAAGTTATTGTAAGTCAGCCGGGAACAATCCACTTTGTATTGCAGACAAGTTATGATGAATTAGCCAGTAAAGTCATCTGTATTCGTGTGATTCCATGGCAGTAATGATTCACAAACAAATTTTACCGGGCGATTATTTGCTGAGCCGCATTTTTCAATGACAACTCGCGTTGACAATATGAAATGAACTCACGTTATTTGTGCTGACGTTAAACAAACACAAATTGTTGATCGTAGGTCTAGTTCAAATTCGGGATAACTATTTATTTTTCATGGCATCTATTCCAGGTGCTGCGGTTTTCCCGGCTACCGATATCTCGGAGATTCCATGTCGTGTTTGTGGAGCCAAATCGTCCGGATTTCATTTTGGCGCCATCACATGTGAGGGATGCAAGGTGAGCTATCTAATCGAAACCAATGCAGTTTTTGGCACAGAGATGTTCTTCTTGCAAAACAGATCGGAGTGGAAGGCGGTTTCACCAAAGCCACAGTTTGCACGCATAATTTCGTTGCTCGAGGGCGTAATTTCATTTTTACAGGTGAAATCGATATTTTTGGCTTTTACACTTAGCATGGCTATCACCAACATCCGAGTGCGAATAAATCAGTATCGTTACGATCCACGTAGACGATGAAAGAGTCGTAATAGTAAAATTTTCTGACCTAATCGTACCCTTTGCACATCAAGGTTCCAGTGGATACGAATGAGTGGATACTGTTGCTGGACTGATTTTGACTGAGTTGTCTCCTGCCGAGTCATGTGTTTAGAAGAGACTGGCAAACAAATTCGCAATGATGTCGACATTTTCTCATGCTGTACGCCTACAATTATCAGTGTTTCTCTAAAATCGCCTCCTACGATAGACTTGAAAGGGTCACTATCTGGAATAGACAGCAATTTCGGACCGCTTTTCCACTGTGAGGGTCATAGTGGTTTCGATTTCATCTCCGCAGTTTTGACATTTCAGTGGACCCGCGGAGAAAAGAAAACAGGTGAACCATATTCAATACGAAATTTGCTCACTGCAGCGATTCGGTTCCAATTTTTCATACTAACTCTATAGATACTGCGATTCATTTCGCGCCATGTACGGCAGGTTGATTCACGCAACACATTACTTACCCATCAAGTAGGCGCCCGAAGGGAAAAGCTTATCCATAGTGAAGTGCTTAGTACTAAAATCAAAAATTGCAATAGGTGGATGGGGATGCCTCGCAGTTGAGCGAATTCGATCAAGCATTGCAGCAAAAATTGAGAACGCTCAAACCGCAGACGTGCACCTTGATTTTTTCTCGTTTGCAGATTTTTCTTGAAGCTAACGTATAAACAAAGTCCAAAGAGAAACTTCGTCCTTGTTGAAACATGGGAAGATCTGAACATATAACCAGACATCTCTGAGCGTGAACAGTTGCTACGATTGAGGCAGACAGCAAAAGTAAACATATCTCTTCAGATCAGTATGACTGTAGTATGATAATTATTGGACGAGAAAAAAATTTCTAGTCAGACCAGCTACCGTGAAGCAGTATGTCGCCCACACGCATGCAGTGGGATTAAACGTCTAATCAAGTACAAATTACAAAAGCCTCCATTTCCATGGACTGTGGGAGTTAAAAGTTTACACTGTTTTTCACTAAGAGACAAATAGTGTGCTGGAACTTACCGCGGTAAAACAATCACAAAAGACAACGGAAGACTGGTGATCCCATGGTATAACAACAGTTATAAATAAAAACCTCATTGAAAATTTATGCGCAAGTCTAGCCAACTGTTTCCCGTTGTTATTCGGTCAAATTTTATCCATCCGGTTCGGTTACCTATCTTATTCTAGTCTCTCTCGCCACAAGATAAAGAGACCACGGTGATGGAAAACAAAAGAATTTTACAATAACTAATCAGACAAAATGGACGTTGCACCTGTACGATTGGATTTGATAAGAACCCCATATCCCCACGTTCGTATTGATAATTCTTATTCCATATTTCCCTTCCATTTCGTTCCCCGCCTCCAGGGTTTCTTTAGACGAACTATAAACGAACGGGAAAGTCAGCGTTACACATGTCGGAACGGCGGGAATTGTGCAGTGACCGGGGCTACTCGAAATAATTGCAAAAGTTGCCGTTATCGTCGTTGCTTGGCTGTGGGCATGTCCAAAGACGGTGAGTGTGATTCGCTTTTGCCATTTCGTGGTATGTTATGGGCTTTTCCGTATTTGTACGCATGAGTGGAAGCTCGGTCAGATTCGGGGAAGCTTCCGACGGTAAGTTTAAACAAGGCCGATGCAACTATGAATATGGTTCAGTTGTTGAAAACTGACCCTGATATCGGTGAATTAGCATGGGCTAAACCAATAAAAGGTTTAATCAATCGATCTAGTCATAAGCTCGAAGAAGCTCAAGAGTAAAGTCTTCAAATAACACTCTCAAAAGACTGAGGTACGAGTTCCAGCAGGGAATCGAAGATACGGCACACTATTGATAAATTCCAACAGGAATGCAACACCTGTCTGATGCACTTTGTCAGTCATTGCTATAAGTGAAAATATAACAAGTAGATGGGGGTTCAACAAACTGAAGATCGCAGTCAAATGCTGTGAGTTAATGAGTTGGATGATCAGCAGACAGTTGCCAAGGCAGTTCAGATAAGAAAACTAAAGTGTTGATGATATTGTGTAATAATGGCTTTTATTGGATCACTTGTGAAGACACTTATGCCTACATTGTGGTCATAAAGTCTCTCCGTTAAGCTGGGTAGAAATGCCATACGCCACAATGATAATCGGTAAATGAAACTCAGTCATAGGAAACCTTTTCCTTTCATGTGTTGTTCGACTCGAATAGGGTGCTGCAGAATTATGATAGATGTTTTGTACGGGATGCTAAAAGGTAAAAATTGCATCTAGTTGTGAAATGGGATAGATCGGACGACTAGGTCCGTTATGGACAGAAGTCTTATGACATAAGGTAGCTCTGTAGTTAGAATAATCATGGAAATAAGAGAAAGATGGTTCATTACTGCAGCACCGTGGTGAAGAGCAGTGAAACTCTTCTTAGGTTGCTCAGGGACAATCGCAGATAACAGTAAAGTATGACCGGACAAATGCACTAATAGACAAAAGAATGCATTGTTGGATGTTATACTCGAGATATTCTCCATTTGGCAATTTGGCAGGACAAACGATAAGGTTCAAAACCAACGGTTTTTGAATAAAAAATCACCACTACGGTGAATTTTAGGAATTCAGTGGTATGTGCATGTTCAGGTTATGAGAACAGATTTGATCGTGCAGGCCTACATCGTTTGATAATCATTTGATTGTTGGCCAATCCCCAGCACACATCATCTGACTACAAGTTACAACGAAATTCCTTATAGTTTAATGCAATAAGTATAAGGGATAAATAAGAGCTCGCGAAGTCAATCGGTCGCATCAAATTGTGTATTTGTCTGTAATGTCAGTTCAATATGATTTCACCGTAAACTCCTTATACGAAATTTGTTATTGCAAAGCTATGAACACTGTTCTATCAACTTAGAAACGCATATCTATTAAACGTGTGACTGATTAAATTCAGGAGAATAAGATTTTGAGTGTTATACTATATTACTGGGCTATGGGAGCTCACTCAGTACGGCATACGACAATCATCTATCACAGCCAATGACCGTCGTCACTCAAAAGATATCTACGAAAGGGATAAAGCTACCTGAAATGAACGCAAAATGCTACTGTTGAGACCAGTAAGTTCTTAGTGTGCCAGGCGAAGGTTGATGTGGTAAATTTCATGTGTTTATTCCAGAAACAGGGGTTAACTCATTCTGCCTAGTCAACACTTGCCTGCACGTGTTCATACGTAATGCAGTCATGAAATTTAAAATAACTGGATGTGTATGGCGAAGAAACAGTAGAGCGATAAAAGTACTGTACTCACTCCAGTGTACTTCACACACCTAACTTGGTTCAAAAACGGGTACGGTGATCATCCCACGTTCGTACTTCGGTATGGAAATCAACAACCGTGTTAAGTCGGTGATCGACAGATTAGTAAAATCTACCGTCAATTCGCCATGAGGTCAGTGTTCGTGTGCTTACGTCAACCAATGATCTTCGAGGAACAAAGCCACCAAAGTGTCTCAGTACAATTGAGTGTCAACCACGGCGTGTCGGCAGAGGCTTACTGACATCGAGAAATTCAGAATTGATGCCCTTTGTGGGATCAATTTCTGCATATATGAGATAACCTGACAGTTTAGTAGGTCCAGATCCCGTGGTACGATAGGTCATGCCGGACCACCTCCAAACCAGTCAGAAACGGATTGGGCGCCAGAAAAAGCTCTAGAGGAAAAATAAGTGATGATCGCTCCGCCTGACCTCAAATTCCGTGAGTCATGTATCAAAGATAAAAACGACACTTGAGTTGATCGTTTCGGTTTGAGCGATGTGAAGAAAACTCCAAACGGCCCCCTGGATGAAATACAACGTGAGAAGACGAATAGCGTGGCAAACTTTCTAAACATAAAAACGTTCACTGGGGATAGAAACTCATGCAGCTGAATAAACGTGTGGAATTCGGTCTACTTTCTAGAGAAGAAAAGGCATTTAATTTGGATGTGTCAGAAACGTGCTACTACTATCGTAATAATCACTAATCTTGTAAGCGGATTAAAGACAGAAACTCCTAAATGGTATGAGTTATCTTCGTGAAAAATAGCCCAACCAAACGCGTTAAACTATATGACTGTCTGTGTGACTCCATCTTGTCCGATGCGTCACATCCCTTACATACAGCCCTATTTAGCTCCATTTCAACTTCTGTAATTTTAGACCTTTATATACTTGTACCACTGCTTTTCACAACTCCGTTGTATCTCACCTTTCACGTTTGTTGGTTTCTAGGGAGCGAATATCAAACGAACTTATACACAGTCTAATGTAAATTTTCACTTTGAAATTTTCTTCATATTTTTACGCGTTCTCCGTGTCCTATTCATTATCATCTAAGTAATTATTTGTCACATCTTTAAGCTCATTTTTAATAGCGCGCATACCAAAGCAAAAGCGATAACATTCTTTTCATTGGAAATTCTATCCAAAGTGAATAAATAAAGTGCACTCTTGACTTGACTTGACTTGGGGTGTGAGATTCCGAGGTATCCATTTGTAAGTTGAAGAGGTACTATATGTCCGTAATGACACTCAATCGTCATTCGGAGGTCAATTTACAGTAGAATAAAGTCGCAGTTCATAACAAGTATGTGACAAAATGCGGTTTATTATTGTTTCGCGGCATCAGAACAGTGGTGTCGTTTGCGTGCAGCCCAGACTTGAACTCAGTAAAAACAGTTAGTCTATTCCTACCCGAAAGATGTGTCAACAGGTAAAAGTTTACACCACAAAACACAAATTGCATGCATTCGATCAATCATAGAATGGAATAAAATCGACGATGATCTTATTTGAAATCTCTTTCAGAGTATGTTTCGAAGATGTGTTGAAGTTTTCAAGACAGAATGGCTAATGCAGTCGGTTTTAAACTGGCTTCAGTCGGCAGAGTCTGGTGTGTGTCTGTGTGAGAGAGAAGGGGGGCGGGGTGAATGGATGGGTGAAATACTTCTGTCGCGGTCATAATTTTTGTTTTGGTAACACATTTTCATTAAAATGAAAGATAATTTGACGAAATTTTCTACATCGGCTTTTAATATGGTAGATTATCAAAAATCCTAAAAATTAGTGGTTAGGTGCTTTTGTAACAGGATGTATCTACCTGGTAGCAGTTGACCATTTACGATACATTGCAATGTTTGCGGAAAATTCACGTTCTAACAGAGTGGCTCCAATTCTTAATTTTCACCGAGACCAGAATTGCACAAATGGGCTCTGAATGCATGAAGATCGGGACGGATGCCTTGGCAAAAAGCCCACCTAAAGTATAGCCTCCACAAAAACAACAAAATAACCTTTGTTTTAGTCTTCTGTTTGTCATAGAAAACTGACGGCTATCTCGGAGAAATGGCAAGTTGCAACACATGCGAATGAAGACTGACGGAGTATACATAGCATTCACAAAAATCAGATCAGCTAATTATATAACTTTATACTTTGGGAATGCTGAGGGCAGTTCTAAGCGATTGGATAGATTTTTTGCACGATTTTTCTGCACGATGTTGTCCATTTTCTCTGTTGTTGTTTGTAGTGTTACTTTCACCCTTCTTCACCGTTGGACTGGCACAGACGAGAGTGGTCATTTCTCTGTCTTAGTTAGTCATTTCTGGGGTCACGACGGCAAACATGACTGTGAATCCGGATCCATGATAATGCAACACAAGTTTCGCACATTGAACGTTTAACATTCCTACGTATTTACCTCTGCAACCTGCTTTATCAATACTGAAGTTAATAAAATACGCATGCTTAAGTATGGCATTGACCAAAGATAAATAGACTTTTATGGCTTCATTATTATTCCCGACATTGGTCGCGAAGAACTTACTTTCGAAATTTTGATCACCATAACCCGAGTTCTTCTTCTTCCTTTCACATTCATAAACCATATGAGGGATTATGCATATTGAGCCCCCTTTATTTACCACTTGTCCCATATCCCGCGCATATCATTATTTCAAAAACAGGAAGTCGAATCGGACGTCAACCAAATGCAGTCAAACATCGATGTGCGATTGAGATAGAACAACTTCGCTCGGCCGTTTCCTGTGCGGTATCCTGCCCGAACAAATCTCCACTGAAAAGTTACATACCTAGTCCACCGTTCTCTTTGTCCAACACGCGACTATCTTTGGATGATCCCAGTCGCGCACTGATGCTAAGCTATAATAATAATGTCCGATTAGAGCATCCGCCCATGTCACATTCGTATCCCTCACATATGGTTCCCAACGCAAACGTGGTCTACTTTCGTCCGACATTATCCGAATTCCATAGCCAGTCTGACATCACAGAACCTGCTCTGTTCACGCCCGAGTTACACAGTCCCAGATCAACACGTCTCTCAGCCCCATACACACCAACGGCCATAACGGCCAGTCAATCCGATCAATCCCATATTCCAGAGCTTCATTCAGGTTGCAGTCTGAGACCACAACCGATGGACGAGACTAGTGAACCAGATCAAATATCTATGCACCGACTAGGATATCCATCCACTCGTACAGATGAACCATTGACCTCGCAATTGTCGCAACATCAATTAGTATCAACACAACAAGCATTGGTCAGTTCACACCCTTATACATCAAGTGTAGAAGCCGTCTCGGATGACGGGATCGGAAAGATGCCTGAGAAACGTGAGGACGCTCTGATGCCACCGGATTTACATAAATACAACTTCGATCCGGGAGATTACAACAGACTAACAGACCCCATTGATCTATACAGTTCCCAGTCTCCATCTACATCGCTGGGTCCGGCTATAGGATTGTTACAATTATCTCAAGCAGCGCAATACTTCAGTCAACAGGAACAAGCCGAAAGAACACAACAGGATGGCCCCACTACCGAAAAGACCGAGTCTTCAACACGATCTACACAATATCCCGGTACAGAACAGTATCAGTTGCATTTGGCATCGTCCACCCTAGACTCAGATGACATCAAACAAGAGGATTATGATG